CTAGAAACATGAATCATAACCTTGAATCCACAAATTCAAATTCAAGGAAAGTTAAGAGCCAAGTTTAGGAAGTTCTTAGAGTCTTTTCAAGAAGTCTTTTGCAAATTCTTTTAACTTTGATTTAAGACTTAAAGTTCAAGTTGAGTAAAGAGTAAAGAGTAAAAGAATGAAGTTCATTTCTTCAAAATTATATGGGGACTATGTATTGCCAAAGGGTTTAAAATGTTTTCACATTTAATCAAGTAAGGAAACCTTGATTTCCAAAGAGCCTTTGAGCTAGTTTTCGTAAAAGAGTAATCGCTTTCTAAATGAAGCAATAGAGGAAACTTTGATTTCCAAGATAGCCTTTGAGCTATGTTTTTGAGAAATTATCTCAAATCACATAAAGAAGTATGTTTTTAAACATAAGAGCTAGTATCATATTTTGGGAGTAGTATTGAGCACCGATATGGGGGAGAGTTCAGACAGCAAAACATTGTAACATCACAATAGCTCTTAAGTGATGCTTGTCGGTTAGAGAAACTCCCACATAAGTAATTGTATTCTTATATACATAGTTATTTGTATTTTTACATACATTTGATAGTTATGTTGTATCTTTGCATACACACAGAGTTGACATCATGTTTTAAACAACTTTTCTTTATATTGCACTTGTTTTAAACTACATTATATTGAAATGAGTTCGATCAGTTACGTTGAGTTGAGTTGAGCCAGGTAAGTTCTTCAGTTCCTTTCAAGCTTATGTCTTGTTTTAGAATTCCCCTTGCATACTCGTACATTTAATGTACTGATGTCATTTGGCCTGCATCATATTATAATGCTCACACAGGTAATTAGGATCGACATCCAGTGCATCGTTGATCCAGTTCAGCATTCAGAGTCTTGTGGTGAGCCTTATTGCTTTCTGGAGGATCCCTTTTATTGCTTTCAGTTCTTTCATTTGTTCATTAGGATTTCGTGGGACTTATCCCAACATCCATCTCAGTTGTTTTAGAGGCTTCATAGACAGTCATATGTTAGTTCTTTAGTCTTTTCATTGTCATTATCCCCTGTTGAGACTTGAGTTTGCCTTAATGGCCAGTTGAATGTTCTTTTATAGCATTCTAGTTTACTATATAAACTTATTTTTGTTGAGTTTAAGTCTTAACATTATAAGTTCAGTTTGAGACAGTTGAGTTATTTAGCATTTGAATCCTTTTTCTAATGTTAAAGTCTTACACTAATTAAGTAAGCCATGCCAAGGGTTCTCTTGGGGCCAACAATGGTTCTCGAGTGCCGGCCACATCCAGGGTGTAGGCTCGGGGACTGACAATAACTTCATGTTCTCTCTTAAATTTCTTCCATTTATCTTTAAAATCTTTACTTTCTATAATGTTTCTTCATATTTCAGATTTTTAATTGATTTCCTAGATGATTCAACTTGATGTATTTATTGTTAATTAATTTGGTTTGGGTAATAAACTTCATTTTCAAGACTTCTATTGAATATTGATATATACCAATGTATGCTGAAAACATATTTAAGTCAAAGAAGTATGTATTTTTATTAATAACTTAATTTTTTTTTAGATGAGATGATCATGTACGTAATTATAGTTCAAACGTAAATAAGAAGTTTGGATTCAAATTTGATTATCATGCTTTAATAGTATAACAGAATTGACCACGTATTTAACTCATAAAAATATAAATTTGTACACCAGGAACACATTGAAAATATAATTGATTAAATAAAAATATTATTCTTTCGAACTTTAAGTTTTAACTGAGATGATCACACACACTTTAACATAGTATATTGTAATGACCCAAACCGTCGTTAATTAGGAGAAACAAAAATCTGGGAAAAAATTGGGCCACTCTCCCGCCAAAGCGGGCCATATGCCGCTAGGGCGGGGTAAGCTGGCGCCAGAGCGGAATAAGAGGGACAGAACGTAAATTACGAGAAATCCTATTTTCTCCATATTCCTAAAATACCTCATTAAGTCATAAAACACCCTAGAAACCTCAGAAAAGTTGCCTTAAGCTTCGGAAGGAAGGAGAAGGGGATTTCTAGCATGAGGATGGTGAAATCTTGCAGATTCTTGGCCAAATCCACCATCACGAAGCCCGGTAAACCAGAATCAAAGTCAAAAACTCTGTGCAACTGCTTGGCGCCCAGGTAAGCTAGGTTTTTACAATTGAGTAGTTATAAATCTGTGCTTACTATGTGATATATATAAATCAATGGTAGGGTTGTGTGTAGACCTTCGTGCTCCAAGTAATTTACATAAATAATCCCTAGAATTCAAAGTACGTGGGTTTATGCCTTGAGAAGGGGAATTGATGAATTGTTAGAAAACCTAGAATTGCTATCACGAATAGAATTGGGTCAAGAATAAGGATATGAAATCAGGAATGGAACTAGAATTATGAATGTATGTTACATCTGATAACTTGAAGTGATGGAATTGGGGATTTTTGATGAATTGTGACTAAACCATAATAAGAAATCCTAGATGATGAACTAGGGCTGAGTATGATCAATTATTATATACGTGATAGGGATTGAGCAGTAATTTGTAGGTGATGGTTGTGATTCTATGATTGTGTGATATATGTTTGTTCTTGCTTCATTATGATACTTGTATGTATATGAATGCTGCAATGTTGATTCACACTTGTTGTAAATGAGATAGATGAATGATGATTGTCATGAAATAATGACTTAAATGTATGATCTTGATGATATACTTGTGATTGTAATTGTGGTGTGTGAATGGGATCGGTTGCCAAGTTCCGGCATAACTAACTTGGATCGAATTGCCACGTTCCGGCATAAATATGGGATCGGTTGCCACGTTACGGCATAACCATGGGATCGGCTGCCATGTTCCGGCACACTAACTTGGATCGGTTGCCACATTCCGGCATACTAACTATGTGGAGTTTAGGTTTCATGAGAGGACCAATAATGTGATATAAAATGTGAAGTTGTTCGTTGTTCGTATAAATGTTGATAATATGGTATATGCTTGATATACACTTGTGAGAATAGTGTTGTATAAGCTTGTATATGTTGTACTTAGAGAACACGTGTTATGACGATTTATAGTTGGTTATTCGTGGGTTGTAATTGTCACGCCCCGAGCCTACACCCTGGGCGGAACCGGCACTCGGAGACCATTGCTGGCCCCAAGCGAACCCTTGGCCTGGCTTTCTTAACTCAGCGGAAACCTGACTCAACAGAAAACTCAATGCCATGCAAAGACATAAACAACTTAACTGATACATATCTGGCCAAAAAGGCAACTCGGTGGTTGTACTTGGGGATTTTTCTATGCGATTAGAATGGTTAAGCTATGATCAAGAATCCGGTAAGTGGGTTGATTGAAAGAGGGGTTAGTATTGAGGGTGCTAGTGTGAATTGGGGTGTTCCCAAGAAAGAGTAAAGGTGGAGAAGCGAGTGGTTTAATTCATGATCTTACTAGTTGGTTCTTATGTTATGTGGTGGGCGTCGGGTTGACCGATGATGCCTACCAGTACGCGTGTTTTGTACTGATACTCATCTTGCTATGTCTTTTTGGACATAGTCTGGATGCAGGTTAGTGATGTTTCATTAGGTGAAGACGAAGAGATTCTCTAGCAGCTTCTATCTTTCCTTCCGCATGGTGGGAGCCGTGTCTTTTGTGTATCTTGACCAGTTGTACTCTTAGTAGCTCTTGTACCTGTTTAGACTAGATCCATGGGAGGTGTTTAAATTACTTACAATTTTAACTAAAAGTGTGTCTAGAGATATTATTAATAAAATCATAGTGTTATGTTTATTTCTGTTTTCTTAAAATTTCCGCATGTTTTACTATTAGGATATTATGGTTCTCCTACTTAGGTGTTAGAGTAGGTGCCTGCACGGCCCGGTGGGTTGGGTCGTGACATATATAAACTATCTAATTAAACCAGTAAATTGGTTAGAAACTACTAACAACTTTGATGGTATATATATGATGAATTACACCAAAGATCACATTACTCAAAATCATGAATACTAGAAAAAAACATCATATTTTATTTTATTAAATTGGAGTAGGGGAAGGGAAAATGGTGAGCAGACTACAAGATGGGGAATCAAACCCTCACCGATAAAATAAAGGTTAACGTAGTCAATCAACTGAACTACGTACTAAAATACCATGACATAATTAAAATTTAATCATAGAGAACACCTTCTCAAGATGTTTAGCCTTGAGATCAAGATACTCCTTCACCTTCACATTTCTATATTTTGGTACAACACCAACATTATCCTCAGAAGAAACTAATGGAACAATCATAGAATCAACTTGAGGTCCAAAAAAATAAGCCAAAGAGACTCTGTGCTTAGTTTGATCCACGAGAACTCGATGATAAACCGATGGAAATTCTCCATTTGAGAGTATATGAAGAAGATCACCTAAAGTTAACAATGAGGGCATCGTTGGAAACTGGAGCAATTGAAGTCCATCATTGGTCTTTTTTCAAGATTTGAAGACCCTTTGTGTTGTTTGTTTGATGGAGTTGTTAGGAATAATGAATCTGTGTGAGGAGCTAACCCTAATGCATGGTTAGGGTTAGGGCAACATGGATATGAATTCAATTGTAAAGCTCCTGTAGATTCAAATGACTTAATTGAATGTTCTTGAGAATATGGTTGTAAGTAATTGAGGATAAGCAGCCAGAGTTGGAAGGATAGAGCTTTCATCTTCTTTTGATAATTTTCCATCACATCACTACAAAGAGCAAAACAAATAAAGAATCATAATATAACTTTCAGTATCTCAAATTATTTATCGTGATTTCAGAAAGTAATATCAACTCAAATTATCTATGTAATTAAATTTATGTTTATGATGAGAGAAATATAATTGTTGTGTAGAATTATTCACTAAATAACTTGATTATATAAATATATTGTTTGTATCATTAATGTGTATAACTTGAACTCATTATTATATACATTCACATAAAATCAATCCATGTACTTACCAAAAATTTTGATAGTCATGTGGCCAAAGTTCCTTAGCATGATCAAGGGGTGAATCCATAATGGTGAACCCTTCATGCCACATGAACTTCGAGAAGAACGGCGTAATTCGAGCTGTGCCATAGCCGGTGGCGCCACTAGTCGATCTCACGACCTTCACCTTCTGTTCTGCTGGCAAGGCAAAAATCCGTCTTGCCTGAGATTCAACTTCATCAAAAAGTTCTAAAGAAACTCCATGATTAACAACTTGAAATATCCCCCATGTTTTGCATGCATGACCTATAAGTTCCACAACATTAGGGGCTAAAAGATCAATTATTGGGACATTAGGGTTTTTTTCATCATGACTAATTGGGGAATTATTGATATTAGGCCATAAATGAGAGTTTGGAACTTCTTGGATTGAATGAAAATCTATAGGAAGAATGTGTTGAAGGCTCTGAGGGTTTTCTTTGAAAGATTCTTCAAGAGTACTAGTAGTAGCCATTATATTGGACTTTGAAGCAAAAACAAATATTGTATTGATAAGTAAATATTTTTTTCTGGAATATAGATAGGGTAGGAAATATAACATTTTACACATGGATTGGTCGGTCTTTTTTGGAATATGTGTTGTCTATAATTAGGTTCCCAATTTTGACAGATTAAGCTGCCATTTAATCAAAGATTTTAAATCAAACATTTATTTTTTTTCTTTAAATATCCGTTTGACTTTGATTTTGAATCAGACATTTATATTTTTTCTTTAAATATATGTTTGACTTAGATTTTGGAT